ATTATAACACGCAAAACTACTCTTGAAGCCAATCTCATGTTAAAAAAAAATTCCAATTCTACACTACGTTACAAAATAGAGCGACTTTGGGGTCCATTTTAATCCCAAATTGGACAGAAACACAAGCGCAAAAACCGATGCAGAGCTGGAACCCTTGATTCATACGAACCCTGAAGTTATAGGGACCACACAACTCTCTGCTATGAGACGAATATGATCGTAAAAATCGTGATTTGGTGAACGTGGCCACTTTGGGCTGTATATCTAGATCTGCACCCATACAGAACCGTTCTCGGAGGTGAGTTTTTGGAGACATGCCTGATTTGCAGAAATCCACCAGGGAAGTCGGCAAGAGACGGGGAAGGGTTGGGTTGGGGCGGAGCGGGGCGGGGGGGGGGTTGAACGGAGCAAGGGAATCGGAACTCAAGTAGAGGTGAAGAATGAATTTCAAATACTTAATCTTGCGTGCATGAGCTAATTGCGGGGCGGATCAAGCTTTCAGGAGGGGGGGGATGAAGGGGGTTGAGTGAAGGCGAGCCAAAGGCACGCCCTGCTCGGGGGTCTTCTCGGTGCATGCCCAGAGCCCCGGAAAGTGTTTAAATCAAAGATGCATTCTTATAACATTCTCAGGCAATTTTATAATCAATTTAGAAACTTTAGCAATCCACTTATTACTTTTCGACCAATTGTACTCCTGTTGTAGCTCAGCGTCTAAGCGAACGGGGGGGGGGGGGGGGGGGGGGCAACAGTCAACCAAAGACTGGCAGAAGCCTTGGGCAGAACCTCCATTACATACCTGTAATAATACCCGGCCATACATGTATGCATGTGTAACGAAGAAAAACGGTTCACTAAAGAAAATATCTGTAAAGGCCTGGTTCAAATTGATAAGTCGCGAAAAATTTAATAGAAAACTGGGACAAATTTAAAAAAGGAAAGAGACAGACTGAATTGGGATGGAACTTTACAAAAAAAAACAATTTAATCCACAATTAACTGCAAGTTTTACATTCACAAAAAAAAAACTTGAAATGTGACCAAAAAAAAACCTTTTGGGAAAAACAAAGCCAGAAATTAATAACTTTGGGAAAAAAAATCAAATTGGAAACAAAAAAGTAATTGGAAATGAAAAGTAAATAAACCCAACCAAAAAACACCTAAAGAAGACGAAACCAAAAAAACCAACACAGTGCCAATAGCGGATTGCCTTAGAGTGCGTTCAGACAGAGCCCATGATATCAATGACTCCAACAAGCAGACAAAACTAAGCAGGACAGGCACTCCAGTTAGGAGGAAAATATATGCATGTGACTTGTCTCTGCTGATCTGCTGGGTGAACTTAAGTGGCTTGACCATGTGGCAGCTTATATAGGGGGGACATGTGGGCTTAAGTAAACAAACAGGGGGTCACACTACTGAAAAGGGGGGGGGGGGGAATCTTGAGTAACTAAAATGATTTCTTTGTTTTCTAAGGGGAGCTACTCCTATTAATACACTATACATTATGAAGACATACAACTAAAACTGGGCCCTGCCACAATTGCCGTGGAACAAACGTTGACACCACCAATATCTGGGAACACCATCGGTATTTGAATGTAGTATCCTTTTTATTTTTTTTCAATTAAGAACCAGAAGTGTACATTAAGTAATACCATAATAATACATTACCTTAGATTGGACATTCGGGAGACATCCCCGTAGACCTGTGCACAAAATTGGTCCAACTTAAATGTGCCCTTACCCAATATTCCCTTGTCCTTTTCACACGAATTTCAGTATGTTTACTAATTAGACCACGAGCAACAAATGTAGTTGCGACTAAAGGGGGGCTGTGACATACACTAGGGAGACATGGAAATGTCTCCCTAATGACCGATGTCTCCCATCGTGCGAAGAAATTACGATAACGTGTCTCCTTAATGGCACCATTACACGTAATAATAATAGTAAGAATACAACTAATAATCTCCTTCAAGTTTTCAAGCTACAATGCCTGTGCATTAATTGTGTAAGGTTTCTATAAAAGATAAAATTTGATTAAAACAACTATGTCAAAAAATGCCTCAAACTGAAAACAAAGTGGTACCTCTGTTTTGCTCCATATAGTTCAATTATATAGGTTTTCCCAGCCAATTTCCTCAAAATGTTCATTCATTTTACTGTCTGTGCATTCAGTCTTGAGAAACAGACGGCCATTTACGTTGCCTGCGCATTCATTTATGCACGCAAATATTTTCAAAATTGATTTCAGGTAGCTAATTTGATGGACGATTAACGAAAAAGAAACCCCTAATTGTATCTGGTGCCGATGGCATTAAACTCAAAGTGAAATGGAATTGTGAATGTTTGAAATCGTCGTCTTAAAGAGAAACAAACGAAAGGTGCTGCTCAATCACTTAATTGATTGAACTGAAATGGAATCGAATGCTCTGGTAGCGAAAATAAAACGCGTGTTCAGAGCGATTCTCAACTTCGGACGAAAATGAATGACTTATTTTCAGAAGTGAATGAACATTGTAGGAAATTGGCCAAGAAAACCTATACTTTAATACCATTCAGATTTTTTTAAAAGTTATTGTAGCTTGAAGAAGAACGATTTATTTTTAATAACAAATTTATATCTTAGCAACGATTATGTACAACCAGAACTTTAAAGTGAAATCAGACAGAATTGGCACAAAAGTTGGCAAATTTCAAAAAAATAAAATATAAACAAAGTTTAAGAGTGAGTTCGACCATCACCCCACACCAATCTGCCCAATTACAATTTATCACAATCAGCTGTGGCAATATGCTTCTGTTAACAAAAAGGAACGGTGAATTCAATGGCGAACAAATCAGTTCCTTAGTCGAAGACGTTGCTTCACAAACAAAATATTCTTTGCATCTTAGTAAAGACTAAAAATATATGTACACCTTATGTAACCAATGTGTAGCTGTTTCTGTTAATCAACACAATTGCATTAAGGCAATTCTGGGTAATATATACAATGCCACTCTGCCAGTATTCCTGATATTAATTAATTATTTTTTTTTATTTTAATATTTACATTACTTTTCTCGCATTTTCTAGAGGAGAGAATCTGACATCTTATTTTGAACATCTCTGAAACATAGTTTGCGGCAACATTTTGTGCTGGAATATATTCAGTAGATGGGTTCGAGTTTCGTCAGGAGGCTCCTGGATTAGGCCCAAAAATAAAAAAGTCTCCGGTTTCTGGTAAGCGCGCGCGTCAGCGTAGCCATGCACGTCGGCAAAATGAAAAAGTTTTTTTTTTCAATGAAAGATGATATCTCAAAACCGCCAAACTCACTGGTTTGACTGGAATCCTGCTTCTGCACAATTTTAACGTGTTTTTAGATTGGGTTATGGTCGAGAATAAGCTTTATGTGGCCTCTCTGGACTCCCATATATTTGCACTAAGTTTAGTCGGGCACCATTTGCAGTCATCAGCCGACATATGAAGCAAAAAAAATCAGGTAAACAAAAAAAAAAGCCGCGTCGCTGCACCACTTTTTGGGCAAGCTTTATACCAGAAACCGGATCCTTTTTTTTGGCCTTATTACAATGCCATGCACGCTAACCAAATTGTGCCTATGCCTTGTATGTTGCACTGTATCTCTTTATCATGCGGTTCGTAAGTGACACGTCATTTCAGCTTAAACCACACCCACTGCACACGGAGTATCTCATTGGAACAATTGGAATTTGGATTCCCTATCTGATAGGAGGCTGCAGCATCGCTATAACTTCGCTAAAGGGCTCAAAAGCCAATCCCCGCACAAACTCCCCCGTTCCCCCAACACGATTAGAGAGTCACGGCAGATGTCTAGGGTCACACAATAACATTTCACTGTTACCTGCAAGAACAAACAGGTTTAAAAAAGCCAAGTTCCCTATTTGTATCGACATTTGGAATAATTAGGCTGTCTGCCACTTATCCAAATGTATCATAACTATTTTAACTTCTTAAGTGTATGTATTCAGGCGTTTAATATCGTTTTTGTCTTAAATGTTTTAATATCCACTTCCTTTTTTTTCATACATGCGTACTTTGCTGCCAATGTTAATTGTACTTATTTAAGTGCATGTACCACACATTTAATTATTGCTTCAGGGCCACGATTGGTGTGAAAATAGATGAATCTAAATCTCAATTGAAATCCGAGTAGTACAACGTGGCGTGTTTCATCAAAAGGTAATCAGTAGTGCGTGTGTTTGTATGACGCAGTCACTTACGAACCAGGGCCCAATTTCACAACGCTGCTAAGCACACGATTTTCTGCTAACAGAGCCTCCGTTTATTTCCTGGAGACAGTAAGCATGAGCACAGCAAAAGCACGCTTACTTCAGAGGAAAAATGTGTTTATTTTCGTGACGTATCAATAGAAATCTACATGCACGTGCGACCTTTCAGCACATTCACGCCGCGAAATAGTGCTGAAGGTTAACTAAGCACAACTTTTCCGCTAACTGTTATGCAGCGCCGTGAAATTGCGCCCCGATATCAAATGATTCAATGTATTTAATGATATTACGAGTTCATTACGTTCGAGAAATACATGACGTCATATTGCAATTTGTTTCCACTGTTGCATGATGGGACTGCACTGTGATGTTGCGAGAAAGTTGTGCAAATGGAAAAATATGCCATACTTGGATGTATACTATGTGGCTAATCATGGTTCTTTTCATTGCATCGCGTCTGGTACACGACATTCGCAAGAAGTAAAGTTGCCAACTAACCACACAGCATGATGACAATAGTCGCTATCAGTTCCATCACGAAGGCCCCTTAAAATGGAGAAATCACTGTGCTAGCTAGTGTCCAGATACTCTGTCAAGCGACAGTTGCTTTGGACAATGGCTTGCACAACGGTTTCTCCATTAAAAGGGGCCTCTTACGATACGTGCCCGGATCGAGTGCAATACCAGAACGTTCGAAGCAGCAGACCCAACAGTCCCAGCCACTTTGCTGAGGAAATATGATCACACTTAGACAGCAAATTTACCTCTTAAAGTACATGTACAATACAAATGTTTTCATATAGCTGAGGAAATATGAAAACCCTTAGACAGTGCATTTACCTCTTAAAGTAAATGTGTACAATTTTTTTCTCATAAAAATACAATCCGTTCTTATAAAATATAGGGATAAAATATTCATCTTAATAAAATATAACATTTTTCATTACATGGTGTTTTTTTTGCATTCAATGCCACATCAGCTGAGTATAAATTATTATTTACATGAAAAAAACAATCAGTTGCTATATAAACAAACCATTTGGCGACATTTTCCGAAACACCTTCACCAGAAACGTCTTGGGTCTTGTTCAATGGTCTCTTTTTTGGGTGGGGGGGGGGCAGTGTTGCTGATCGTACTGCAAACAATTGACTTGCTGGCTTCATTTCCCCGCGACACCAGTCATTTTTAGAAGGCTTCTTCCTCGTCCTCTTCGTTCAACAGCTCGTCGTCCTCTACTTTCCTGCGTTTACAAAATATTACAGAGAAGACCTTTACTGTTATAAAAGGCAGGTGCAAGACTTGTCCATGTCATTCTATATTAACTTAGCCTGGAACCATTCATTTCACACATGTTAAAATTTATATTTCATTTTACCTAACAACCCTACCGCCCTCTTTTTAGACATCAGCAAACCTCAGAAAATAGTTTTTGTTTTGAGCACAAACGGATCCGCTTTGCAAGCAGTCTGGCTCCAGGTTCGTACATTGTCGTTACTGATTATGCGGTCACACACCTATGTTCCGACACCCCTTCCGACAGCTCATGTTGCTAAGGCTAAAGACAAGTAAATCAGTCCGGAATTGCCTACGCCGGCCAAATCACGATTTGCATGCCCTCAAAATCTTCAGTATTTGAGCATGCTGTGGGCCATAAACTAGAGGGTTTGTAAAAAATAAGGCTGGAAGCCGTGCACAGAACTGTGAGCTTGTACATAGTTCCGTTCAATTTGGATGAAATCGGGGCCCTAAAAGCGTTCTATTTTGCAATGAGGTGTAGGCGTCTTTTTTCAAAATGGCGATGTGCTTCAGGACTATTTTAAGGGGTGATCATCTTCGGATCGAAATTTCTCCTAAAAGTCATTCGTCGACCCCCCCCCCCCCCCCCCCCCGTAAATTGAAAAGAAAATGAAAGATGATGAAATAAGCTAAAATTTGATTTGTGTCTCGAAAACCTTGGAGAGATGTGAGTATTTTTCCCAAATTTCTGAAGTGGCAGATTTTACCATTGGGGTCAATGGAAGGTTATTTACTGGTCGTCAATCTGTAACCCTAACCCTATCCTTAGCCCTAACCAACGTTGAGGGCGGAGTATTAGGACTTACGTTGGGTCTGGATACATGTCCTGCACGTCTTCAAAGATATCTACGAGCTCGCTGAACGAAGGCCGATCTTCTGGATTCTTCTGCCAACACTTCGTCATGATGCTGAAGCTAAAAGGTCAAAGTTCAAAGGTCAAACGATGTTAATAATATAATGTCGTTGACGTGACATGTGTTTCTGTGTGACAAACTGCTGGAGGGGGTGCATGGGAGGTGGGTATAGAATTATGGTGTGCATTCTTGACATTTTAATCCAAAATAAAGACATCTCTATTAAGAATAGATATATCTGTATTATTAATAGAGATTTCTCAATTTTTAAATACCTCTATTGCCTGGTTTCATATAACAGGAGTTAATTGTTAACTTTGTTCGCCCGAAACAGAGATAAATCTGTTCTTGTTTTGGATTAAATGTCAAGAAAGCACGCCATATTTAACAGTATTTTAGCGGAGAACAGGCCATCGTGGATATTATTTTCAGAAACAATAAGCTCTGGCTGTCTTGCACGTTATCCATCAAAATGATCCCTGCCAGAGCTTAAAAGTGCGACGCCCAAAAGTGCAACGCCGGGCTACTTTCATCCACGCTGGCACATTAACGATTTCACCGTGCAACGGACGGTCACGTTGACCGGAGATTGTGCGTACCAGGCCGCCGTCCTACGCAAAAATCACGCTGTGCAAGTCTGTTCCCAAAACTTGACCAAAACAAGTCCCTTAAGTTTCCCATCAATTATACCGTGCAATATACCACGTGGCCATTGCATTACTGCACATATTTTGCTTCCATTTACAAATTTTTCATAAATATCTTTCCGAATTGTTACAAACAATTTTTGTTATCTATATGTTGATTTTGTTTGCTTTTTTTGACAATTACAATTTGGTAGTTATATTATATTGGAAACTTATGGGGCTTATTTTGGTCATTTTTTTCGGGAACAAAAAGACCGACCGACCGACAGACCACAACGTGAAGTGTGGAAGCTGCTGCCAGAGGTTTATAAAAAGGAATTATTTGAAAAAAATATGTAGTTTAAAACATCGCAAAGAATATAGTATCTATATAGACGCCCCTTCTTTGGTTGTGATACAGTATTGGAGACTGAGTCAAGCGCATTTTCAAAGTATTTTCTAAAAGAATTGGAAATGTGTCTCAGTCACAGATTCACGTCTTTTCAAAATGTGTGTATATAATGACTGACATTCATTGAGATAACACATGATGAAAAAATGGCATGAGAATGCAATATTCTTTCCGAAATATCATTCGGCGAAGTAAGTCACTTTTTATGCTTTAAGGGTCCAGGGTCCAAGTATAACTCAATCATCCATATTTAAAACATTAAGCTACATGAATACAGTAGTAAAAAGAACAAGCAGGAGACACGTCTCAATATAATATGATCAAGCTGTGGCGAGTTGTGGGAAACTTTTCATACTGTCTGTAACATGGAGGTTAAATTTCATTGCACCACTCTTTAGCCGATGTTTCATGAAATAACTTTAGGCCTTCAGCTTAAGTTAAACATTTTGGCCACCGGTATCAAATGAGGGAAATAATCGTCATAGCGATTTTTGGCAAGGTATACACCTCCGGAGTAGGAAAATATGTGATAGCATTGCAGCGGTGGCAGCGTTTTGGGTGTTATCACCCTTTTATTCAATATGTCCTTCAAAATGCTTGTTACCACTTTAGGGGCCGTATACCTTGCGCATGCTCACTATAATCATTTATGCCCTGATTTGATACTGACCAAACCCTCAGGCTGATGGCATAATACAATAGAGCGCCAATATCTCGATGATGGCGCTACTTACAGCTCGTCGTCGCAATTGGGCGGTCTCTTCGGAGGTATTCCGGCAGACACCTTGAACCTGACCTCCTCGTTACTGCACTTGGTGTAGGGCGCCACCCTCCCTGATTGGAGCACACAAAAAAGAAGACCATTCTTATCACAAAATGGTCACATCGACCGAACAAAATAATTATTATAGTTACAGTGAGAACTACATAGAGATTATGCTGGTTAACGTCATCAAGCTGAGTTATACAAAGTTAGCCAAATACCTGTTAATGGTACCTTTTGAAGCCATTTCGTCATCAATAATTATACCATAGGGAGACACCGTACATTAGGGAGGCAAAAGTTTAGTGTCCAAAATAGGCTAGATTGATTGCTAGTGGTCTAAAACAGAAATACACCGAGATTCCTGGATAAGGATAGGGTACCATTTGCGTTGGGTGACATTGAAGATTGACAAATTGTGTACACAAATTTATGGGAATGTCTCCCAAATGACCAACATCCTGTGATTGAATGTGAATTGGTTGTGATTGGATGTGAAGTGCTTGTGATTGGATTTGAATTGCTTGTGATTGGATGAATATTGCTTGTGATTGAATGTGAATTGTCTGTGATTGGATGCGAAATGCTTGTTATTTGATGTGAATTGCTTGCGATTGGATATGTGAGTTTCCTGTGATTAGATGTGAATTGCTTGTAATTTGATGTGAAGTGCTTGTGATTGGATGTAAATTGCCTGTGACTGGATGAATATTGCTTGTGATTGTATTGAATTGTCTATCATTGGATGTGAATTGCTTGTGATTTGATGTGAATTGCTTATGATTGGATATGTGAGTTTCCTGTGATTGGATGTGAATTGCTTGGGATTGATGTGAAGTGATTGTGATTGGATGCAAATTGCTTGTGATTGGATGTATATTGCCTGTGACAGGATGAATATTGCTTGTGATCGGATGTGAATTGTCTGTGATTGGATGTGAATTGCTTGTGATTTGATGTGAATTGCTTATGATTGGATATGTGAGTTTCCTGTGATTGGATGTGAATTGCTTGTGATTTGATGTGAAGTGATTGTGATTGGATGCAAATTGCTTGTGATTGGATGTATATTGCCTGTGACAGGATGAATATTGCTTGTGATTGGATTGAATTGTCTATCATTGGATGTGAATTGCTTGTGATTTGATGTGAATTGCTTATGATTGGATATGTGAGTTTCCTGTGATTGGATGTGAATTGCTTGGGAGTGATGTGAATTGCTTGTGATTGGATATGTGAGTTTCCTGTGATTGGATGTGAATTGCTTGTGATTGGATATGTGAGTTTCCTGTGATTGGATGTGAATTGCTTGTGATTGGATGTGAATTGCTTGTGATTGGATGCAAATTGCTTGTGATTGGATGTAAATTGCCTGTGCGAGATGAATATTTCTTGTGATTGGATGTGAATTGCTTATGATTTTGAGCTAATTGCTTGTGTTCTTACGTGAATTGCTTGTGATTGGATGTGAGGTGATTGTGATTTTATGTGAATTGCTTGTGATATTGGATGTGAATTGTCTGCGATTGTCTGTTAATTACCTGTGATGAACCAATTAAGACAGCACAATAAGCTCAGAATATGACAACGGCACTACTTTCATCTTCTCAGTCTGTATGAAATTTATGTTGACAAAATGTTTTGTCTGTACCTAGGGTGGAAATCTCGAAGAGCAAGATGCCGAAAGACCAGACATCGGACTTGGTGCTAAACAGGTTGTCTAGGATCGACTCGGGTGCGTACCAGCGGATCGGAGCTTTCTGTATGAAGAGAGAAACAATAGAGATGGTTATACCGTTCCTACTGTGTTGAAGGTCTAAAAGGTCTGTGCCCATTGATTTGTGACAACCAAAATCGTGTGACTTTCGGTCACTGACTTACGATCTTGTTTCCGATTTTATGTTTGTCTTCGACCATCAATCATTCGGGGCATAGATGGGCTGTATAAATAGTTCTTTTGAAGTAGATCAATTCAAAATTGCAATCGATCAATGATCTGAATGACTCAAATGCATCTTCTAAGTTTTAACTACCCTTCTTTAATTAAGGTTTGTATATCCGTACTTTTTTAAGCATGAGGGGCTTACTGTCTGTTTGTAGTTATACTTATTTTTTTAAGCAGAGACATGAACTCTACTATAAAAAATTGAACTTAAAAGTGACCTCATGCAATTAAAAGTAAAGCATTTATGTTTGAGACGTGTCAATCTGTGAGTTTAATAGGAAAGTTCAGCTTCTTCTGCCAATGTGCATCAAGCATAGCATGGGCATTATTACATCACATAATGAAAACAGTAGATTTTTCTGGGAGCATGCAAAATTCGGGAGCTGTGTATGGAGAGTGTCGTTATGTTTAGAGATATTTCCTTCCTTCACATAATTTTCTTCCATACTTCATTAGCAGTGGGGAATCCATTCATTTGGTCAAGGCCAATTCAGAAAACCTCTCCTCGACTCGCTGATTCAAATACAGCGCACCATTCTCATGATAATGTAACTTTACATTTGTATGAGTATATTTTATATCCTGTTGTTTGAATGAAGAATTTCAATGCGTTTTCTTCTTGGTAAGAAGTGCAACTTACATCCGGGGCGCGAGGATAGCAGCCGATGCCGAAGATGTCCCGAGCGAAACCGAAGTCCGAGACTTTGCACACCTCCTCCTCGCTAATGAGAATGTTGCGAGCGGCAAGGTCACGATGAACGATCTGTTGTCGTTGTGACAAAAAAGTAATAAAAAGTCGACATGTTAAAAAAAAACTCACCAGTCATCCGGTTTTCATTTGCTGCCGACTTTTTGAGGGGTCCACTCACAAGTCCGACGCCTCATGGGTCCGACGCCCCAATGAGGCGTCGGACTTATGAGGCATACAAGTTAATTATTCTGCCTCATAGGTCCGACGACGCATAAGTCCGTCGCCTCATAGGTCCGACACCTGATAAGTCCGAAACAGCGTTTGTCAATTGTCGGACTTATCAGGCGTCGGACCTATGAGGCGGAATGTATGTCTCATGAGTCCAAAATTTCGGATATTATGAGGCGTCTGAGGTATGAGGCCTCGTACACATGATACAGCCCCCTTTTCGGAACCTCAGGTGGTTGCCGATATATGTTCAGAATGTTCCGCTAAAAAATAGTTAGAATGTTGCTTTTTCTTGACTTTTGGACACACAACAAAACTGTATTGTATGGAAATCTACCATGATTTAAATGTACGTGCGGTCCATTTGTTGTGTGCATTTCTTTCATTTGAAGCGACAAAATCTGGTTGTACGTGACTGAAGTTTCAACCACACTACACATTTTCGCTAGAGCAAAAAAGTATGCACACTTTTTGGTCTCTATTTTTGCCCCCGTGAATATATTTTTGAAACCACCAGCAATGATAGTTTTCTTCCACACGATGCCATTTCAGGCGGAGTAGTCTCACAGGGTTTTATACCGCTCCTATCTGCACCTGCAGCAAGGTTTCTGCATTTAGTTTAAACTGGTCGACTGTTGTAGTCGAGTCGCCACACTCTGCCCTGGCTTTTCAAAACTGTATCTTAGGCTATAAGCTTCGGTCCGAAAATCGGGCCATCAATATCAAATGATCGAAAGGAGCAATGCTCACAGAGTGGTAATGACTCGAGTCAATGACTAGACTCGAGTCCGACTCGAGTCACAATTTTTGGTGACTCGACTCGACTCGAGTCCCTAAGGGTAAATGACTCGACTCGACTCGAGTCACTGCGAGCAAATGACTCGAATCGACTCGAGTCCCTCATCAGAAGACTCGACTCGACTCGAGCGAAGGCTAATAAGACTCGAGTCCCAAAAATAAAAGCGCAACTTGGCGAAAAGTATTTGCACTGACTTACGGTGAAAAGTTTATGCTCACTTTACTTTGCGAATAGCAGTCATGTACAAATATACAACGTGTCACAGACTCCCACCTCATGGTTCTAGAACGCACAAAATACTATCCAGGAACCAGATTTTTAAACACATTTTCTAATTCGCTGTTTCATCATTGGTTTTGGGCGATTTCTTATAAAGCTATTGTATTCAAACGCTGGCTAAACTTATGGCCTCCTTTTATAAATTTTGGTATAAAGTGTTCAAATAATCGTGACTCGAATTGACTCGAGCTAAATATTTGACTCGACTCGACTCGACTCGAACTTTTGACCTAATGACTCGACTCGACTCGAGTCACTTCTTTAAAATGACTCGACTCGACTCGAGTCACAAAAATAAGTGACTCGTTACGACTCTGAATTATGCTCATAGCAAGTCTTGGCAAGGTATGCACATCTCGAGTTGGAATAAATTGTATGATAGCTTTGCAGTGTGAGCAGTGGCAGCTTTTTTGGTGTTATCACTTGTAATCTTCTTTTTCAAAATGACCGCCAATATGCTTGTTACCTGATTAATTATATGCGGTTACAAGCATGTTTTGGCCACTTTTTTTTTAATGTGATAGCACCCAAAAAGCTGCCACCGCTTCAATGGTATCACATATTTTCCAACAACAGGGGTGCATACCTTGCCAAAAATCACAATAAGCATTATTCCCCTCCTTTGATACCGACCGAACCCAAGGCTGTGGCCTATCTGGCACGTTGACTCCGGGTACTTTACCGGTTAATTGCAAATGTTCCTCCAGGTGGCTTTAAGACAACTCAGCTTTAAGACAACTCACCTCCATCTGTGAGACATAGGCCATGCCCCTAGAGATGTGAAGCCCAAACTTGGCGAGGTAGTGCCGTATCAGGTCTTTCCCGGTCTCCCTGGGTGGTTTGCTTCGTAGGAAACCCAGTAGGTTCCCGCCAGACAGATACTCCGTGATGATGCATATTGGCTCTGTCACCACCACACAAGAGAACATCAGGAGGTTTGAAAGTTGATATCGTAAAGATTAATTCAAAGCGAAATGTATGTATAAAAATAAAAATAATGAGATGAATCTCAATAAAATAATGTATTATTTTTTTTTTAATTAATGAGGGTTTCGAGCGCAAAGATCAAGATTTTTTGTGATCAACCTGTTGGTTCCAAAATACTTTCCAACTGTTTCTCCGTGACTCATAGCCCTTGCAAGGAGGGTAATCCCGAGAAACATAGAAGAACATGATCTTACTAAAATCGTTCAAGAAAGGTCTATGCGAGATGGTATCTGACAGATGCAAATTATAATCAGTTCCTACCAACCAGGCTGCAGAAAATAGGTGTCAGCAGGACACACTGTAAAATGCCCCCGTCAGATTTGACCCGCAATCCGGGTTTGACAGGGTATTTCGAAACATGACTGTATTACGTCAATGTGAGGGGGCACTGTCAGTAGCGTTAGATACGAATGCAACGATCAGAAATCCATTTCTTCATTTCTTTTTTTTTCCACTGACATCTTTTTTAGCAACCTGCAAACAATACAACTTTTACCACTGCTCCCAGCTAGCGGGTGCCACGCGAAGCACGGCATCCCGCTTGTAATGTACAGGGTAAGTAAAAACAAACCGGAACCCAAATGTCGGGACCATTGTTTAAATGAAGTTTTGCATGTAGCACTTTCAAAATCTATGACATAAAAGCCCAATTCATAAGCTTTCTTTAAGTATAATAATCATTCAAATTACTTTTGTACTTTTCAAGTTACGGAATTTCAAACACAACCGCTGTTTTAAGGTTCTGCCCACGGACCACAAAAAAAGTTCAGTGTTCTTTCAGCAAACGAAAACAAAGGATGTGTGTGAATTGTTTTCGTTTTGCTGAAAAACGCACACCTTATTTGTGATCCGTGGACAGAACTTTAAAACGGTGGTTGTGTTTAAAACGCTGTAACTTAAAAACGTACATCAGTGATTTGAATGATTCTTGTACTAAAAGAAAGCTTATGAATTGTGTTTTCATATCCTAGATTTTGAAAGTGCTACATGCAGAACTTCACTAAAACAATGGTCCCGGCATTTGGGTTTCGTGGTTTTTTTTTACTCACCCTGTATAAGGATTAGAGTATTATGACCCACCGTCTCGTATGCAGCAACCCAGGAGCTCCACTACATGAGGGTGTGTCTTCATGATGGTATGGATAGCAAGCTCCTTCAGGAATTCATCTTTCTCTTCCGCGCCTGCTCCGTCTGTAGTAGAAACAAAGTATAGAATAAGCCAAATTGAAGTCTTGATTGCGCATGTGCCAACTCGCCTGAACAATATATTTTTGGGGGGATCAACAAAATCAGTCATACACGCCTAGTCGGCCATAAACGACTTACTTTCAGCGTCTCGTGAGTTTGTGTTACCAAAATTCTGTCCCACCATTCATTGCTCATACGAAACCTCGATTTGGCTTACTAGGATTTGTATGTGATCGAATAATAGGCCTATAAAGTTTCTGGTTTCCGGTCTCAAATTAGCTTTAAAAAAGAATGCCGCAATTACAAGCGTTTTTGTTTCAAAGTTTTGTGCCAATAAGGTATGCAATTATTCTATGAGCACCGCGGTTTCGCCTTGAATAAACTACGAAGGCCAGAGGGGCCCATGAATACTGAATATTCATTTTGTTTTGAGGGGGGAGTGTGAAATGGTGGTGGATTCCTTTTAAACCGATTTTGTTGATGGTTGGAATTAATAAATTGTTGAAAATTCGATCGATCAAGCAATATTGTTTGCCACTGGAATTTGCTACAACAGGAATACAAAAATCTTGCTTGAGTTTTCTATGTTTTTAAACAAAAAAATTTGATTCTGAATGCTTTCTTAGCCTCCAAATGTTTCCATTTTTTGTATCTCACAAATCACATTATCTAACCTTTGAGCTCCTTGACAGCCACCAGTGTGTCTCCTTCTCGACCTTTGACCCCTTTGGCCAGTGCCTTGTACACCTTGCCAAACTGACCTTCCCCTAGCGGCTTCTCCCGCTCCACACTCAGATTGGCTCGATTGAACTCCCACTGCTTGTTCCATTGGTTGACGTACACGTCTCCTGACTGGACGGTCTGGAAATAACGAACATACAAATTAAGCCACATAAAAGTAGTTTTGTGAGAATAGACCTGCACTAACGTTATAACTCAAAACGCAAGCTACTCTAATGAACTGTAAAAAGGCGTGCCTTATATGTCACTGTTAATCCCGAACTTGCGAATGGACTTGTGATTAACTTGAGCCCGGACTTGTGATAATAGTAATAATAATACTTTGGATTGGACATTTGGGAGACATTCTCTTAGACTTGTGCACACAATTTTTCAAACTTAAATGTGCCCTAACCCAATATTCCCTTGTCCTTTTTCCCCACTAATTTGTTTACTAATTAGACCACAAGCAACAAATAAAACCTAATTGCGACGATATAATGTTGCCTCTAAAGGGGGGCTGCGACATTACGGAGGCATGAACATGTCTCCCGAAGGACCGATGTCTCCCACCGTTCGACGAAGTAACGATAACATGTCTCTTTAACGGTACATTTAGTGAAATACATGTAATATCAACGGGTTCCTTATATAGCTTTACATTACTATTACCCATGATCATTGGGCTGATGAAACTAAATACCATCGAAGCTCCCTAGGGAGTATGCAGTTCGATGCTGCCATTTTGACGTAAGGCAGCTAAATCAATCATAATAACCGGCTGGGTGGGGAGAAGTAACAAGTGAAAAAAAATGCCTTGCTCAAGGAAGGGCACACGCACCATAAACCCAGGCTGGACTCGTGCCCGGAGCCACAACCAGCAGAATTACCCCGAATTCAATACCCCAGACCACTGGGCCAAGGCACAAAGACAAGTTAGTGACTCCACGACAACCGGGGGTGTCGTCGAGTTCACGGACTATCTACAAGTAAATCACAAGTCCAGTCACAAGTAACAGTAGCTGAACAATAACAAAGGAATGCCTTTGTCAAACCTCATTTTGAATAGCTTGTGATGAGTTGAATTGAGACTCGGTGGCCTTGTGATGGAATTGCAGGGACTCGAAAACATTGAACACTATTACATGGGGCAATAGGGATCATTATACAAAGTAATGTCATCCAATTTAGGCTAAAAACAACTCATTAAAGCCATGGACTTACCTTTCGTTTCTTCCTGAGTGTCAACTGAGCACTCATGGACTTTCTGCGCATAAGCACACGTGGCTCTACGGCAGGTCCTTCATCGACCTCTAACCGCTCTTGCTCCTATTAAATGTTGTTAAAATCCAAGTATATTCTCTCAATGATATATCACCTTGAGCAAAATACTTAAACTCTCAGCAGGACATAGACTGTCGACATTTCAAACTAAAAAAACTAGCACTGTCAATTCAAAATCAATTACGTCTATTTATACAAATTAATTTCGTGAGAGTCAGGTTGGCACTTTCCTCGCCTTCCACCGCTGTGACCCGGGTTCGAATCCCGCCTGGGCCGACATGTGGATTCGATTTTCAGTCCCTGCCTGATTCCGTGGGTTCCCCCCTCCCAGAATATTCTTCTGGGGTTGTGCTCCCACCTCTAAAATTGTAATTCTTCTCATTGTCTCCTTTCTACAGGTTTCTTTAGGATCGCAAGCTACAGTGCCTAGGGCGCTTTGTGGAATCCTTGGTTTCATTACCAAAAAATGATTATTATTAATAATAATAAAATCGCCGACATTCTCTGTGATGCGGTGTCAAGAAAAAAAAAGTGCAGACGTGAACGAGGATGAAAACAAAAATGGCAGCTGTAAAAACTGTGTTGTTGCAATCAATCTTGTTTTCTTCTGATTAAAGGGAGATTCTCACCCTTTGGACTGCAACCTCGTAGTCGTCCTCCCCATTTGATGTCTCATACATCAGGGACAAGTATACCTCCATGATGGCTTTCATGAATTCCTGCAGACAAAACGGTTTATCACTACGAATTAAAGTGACACTTATGCGTGATATGTACCTGAAAGGGTGTTGCTTGTTATTTTAATTTAGTAACTTTTGAATTCACAAAAGGTACGATTATGCCTACAAAAACATATCTGACCCCGCCATGGGCGTTGCCAGGATTTTTTTCTAGGGGGGGGGGGGGACAAAACGTTTTTTTCCCCAAAATCTTCGTACCTTCTGTAGCATATTCTCAATTTATTATTTTTTGAGGGAAGGCGGGGGGACATTTGCCCACCTAACCCCCATTGGCATCCCCGTTGACGCCCATGTTGTTAAATGTGCAATAAATTATGTTTTGACATCGCACCTCGTCTTTTTCCCCCTCAAATGTTTTTGTTTTTCGGTTTGCTTTTTCAGGAGGGAAAAGCAAACCTTGGGGCCTACCCCCCCCCCCCCCCCCAAGCGACGCCCATGGACGCCGCCTTATTAAAGGCATGTTACTGTCTATATACATGTACAAACGAAAGATTAGTGAATAACGGTCTAGATCAGTCTCGATGAATAGGGAAGGACAAAGGGAAATTTAAATCACTTTGTTTTTGTTCAAAACGCGCATCCCGTAGCCCCAAAACTGGGAGGAGGATATGTCCCATTCCTCCCCGTCCAACTAGATTTACACCCCCCCCCCCTCTCCCCCACTTCTCCATGTGGAGGATCTTGCTCGTTCAGACAGAAACATATCTTACGGGATCAGAAAGACTCATACGCGTGGTGGCAACCTGGTGAAGTGCATCGGGTTCAATGTCGAATTCAGCTGGATTGGGTGGCTATTACACAACAGCAAAATGAAATGGTTAATTAAAGTGTTATCTTACTCTTTGTTTTAAAATAACTGACTTGTTTAGAGCAACATGATGGTAGACCTTGAAGAACACAGTGTCTGTCTTAAAATGAAACCTGAAATGTCCATGTCAACATTGTAAAAAGGTGCTTTAAATTGCACATTTGTTTAACCATTTAAATCTTAAATGTTATCAATCGATCAATGAATAGATGACGTACCTTAGCCGTGCTGTCTCGCACCGTTCTGAAGGCCTTTTCCATTTTCTTAGGATCAACAGATGCCTAACATACAAGGGCAAACATGCAAAAGAAGATAAGTTTTGTTTCCTTAACATTGTATGCGTAAGAAAAGAACATTGGAAATTAGATGAGTGCCATTCGCACAAGCTAGGACACACAAACCAGTACACACATCTAACGTTCCATTTACCATATGAAATATTTATACTGTATACTCTATGTATGTACTACAACTTATATACACACAACTTTGACGATTGTTTTTGATATGTCTTTTTAAAGGGAACATGCAACATTTGCTTTTGCTGTAATTTTCAGAAATGATTTGGGGGTAAGTATCTTATAGCAGATATTATTACACTTACTTGTTTGAAGTTTTGTGTTCGTAGATGCTGGAAAAACTAAGGAAAACAATCATGTTCGTATAGTCTGGTTCCCTGACCCCACTTAAGATGAAACGGAGCAATTTATAGACGTCGGGGAATTGTAAGGTCAGAGAACCAGACTAGCTGGTATGAACCCATTCAGGGATGTGTAACCGATTGTAAACAAAATGTGGACTAACTAAATGTAGTAAATAAGTGACTACATATTTGGGGGGAAAGACATTTTTTTCCAACGAGGGTCTGCAGATCAGCGTGGGAAATTGATACAAAAAACCACTTTTCTTAAAAGAACAGCACACCAGGTGCCAGGATCTTACAGGATGATTTCGACTTTCATTGTCGTACAGTCCAGTGAGGTTTTTCATAATAATTTGGTAGTTTTATTTTTTGGGGTTTTTGCAAATGTTGTACATTCCCTTTAAACCACATTTTCAGTAGAATAGAAAGATCCTCTTAAGATCGAATCATTATTCTTTCAATTTGTATGAAAAAAAGTTCGCACCATTTGTTTTTAAAAATTATCGCTTACGGGAAATTGATCAGGTGTTCGCAAATTACAGACCATTTCTCTTGAAACAGTTACATTTGCAGCCAGCTGATTACAGCAGCAGGCTGGGTGAACGTTTCGACGGCTATTTCCAGTCCAATCGGACTTGAAAAAATATTAATATTTACCTTGTGCGAAGGCGATGGACTCTTTTGCAACCTTGGCGTTACAGACGGCTGTTTCAGGATACAATGGAAAAAGTAATTAGGTATTTGAAATTGACCCTAAATTACAACGCTTCATTAGATTGCTGATGCAGGGTCTCATTGCTGATGAACACGGATAACAATTGTGATGCGAATTTGATCATATTCTAATTGAATTATTGCAATATAAATGTATAAATTATAACTACGGAAATGGGTCATTTTGGGAGACTCTCCCATAGACTTGTGCATCAAATTTTTAATGCAATTTTCCATATAAATCAACCAAGCAGTGAGCTCATCTTAGCCAAAACAAATAAACTTTTCAGAGTGATATTACGTGCCGAGAGGAAATTTACGGCAATCAGTCTTTTCAAGACGCATGAAATGAGCTGTTCAATGTCAAAAAGTAACAAAGTAAATTTTACGAAAAATTAGAATGGAAAGGGTGTAAAATTCCTTCAAAGTTCCATTTTATGAAAATGACACCAGTCACAAAATATGACAAATAACTTAATGATCTCGTTCGAAAAAGAAAAAAAATCTGAAACCAAAAATACTAGTCTGTCAAACAGGCTAAGCAGGTAAACAGACCATAGGAGTTTAAAAAAGAGGCATTTGCGAGCGGGAATGCAGAACTTACAAAATGTGATATCCTATCTTCTTGTGGCTTGTAAACTGAGAGCGGCGGAGGTCTGTTCTTGGGTGGCGTATTTGAGACCTGCAATTGAACGAACGGAATATAGTCCACACTCATGAGTTTTTTGTATCGATAGAGATAGACCTTGTTTTTTTTCACACTGGGCTTCCTAGACCCAATCAATGCATGTTCCACTCCACATTAAATCACGGACTTGATTCAAAGAATCACACAAAATGTGATACCTCCCCACCAGGTCCTTGCAATGAGAGCGTATGAGGCCTCATCTCAGCGAGCGTCTTCATCTGTAAGAATTGGCAATTATATATGATTCACGCATGCAGGCTTCAGCCTATTAGTGGAGCTGCTGAGCGAAACATCGTACACTTTGTGGTAAAAGCATGAAATTTGGCATGTGGGATCAAAATGGGCTAGAAATCATTTTAAGATCGGGACCCATCCTGGATTTCGCCCATTTTTGGGGCGGAGGTTGATTTTTTTGAAAAAGGGGGTGCAAACAATACAAACTCATAAAAACTGTATTTAGCATCCATTTCCCTGTTTTTCTGTGCACGATTTTGGGCAAAAATTGACCTAAGCAGCTCCTCTATGTAGACTCTTAATGGAACAACAAAAGTGCAAGCTGCATGAGACACAGGCCATCTTACAGGGAAACATCACTTCAATTGCTCAAGACAAATGTAAGACATTATTTTTTTGTGGTAAGCCATTTTGGTATTCCACATGCCCTACCGGCTGTCACATTCATGCAAAGTCCTAGAGTGTATGTACCAGAAGATTTGAAGAAAACGTATGGCCCTGGCATATACGTACACTGATTAATGAAGCCTTCCAGACGTTTGTTAACGGTTGGGAAGGATTGGAATTGCTGAGTAACACAATTGTCAAGAACAGTGTAATACAACTATGCAATGCCATCCTCCAAAATGCACCTTTGTGTCTCATTGAACTTCATGTTCAAGTTTCATTTGGCAATCTTCACGTGTTTTTTTGTTCTTGTGCCTTTATGATTTTTAGGCTAATGCAAATGTTCATTTTCATAAGCAATAAGTTGATTTACTTTTCAGGCAGAATTCAAGTGTTACAGCTAGTCCAGCTCCAATAGTTTCTAGTATTTTGGTGGGTTTTGATATTGCAATTTCTTTGGTTTTGATGATGCATTGTTGTATCAGTACATGCGGGAAAAAAACAAGAACAAAATACACAAATGTGATGCGATCAAGCTACATGAGTCGTTTGTCGACCCTGGTCACTTTTATTTGTTTACAGATTTGAAAAGAGCACAATCTCAGCATTGCTGCTGCGAAAACTGCATGCTGATACCGTCTTTAGTTCAAAAACTATGGAAGTCGGAACACCAAGAGATGTCACGAAGTGATGTGATGAAGTTGCCCTATTTTGGCCTGTATGTATCTTCAAATAAAAAATTCCCGACAAACGACTCATTTAGCTTGATCGCATCACAAATGTTTGTCAGTTATCAAAAATATTGGTTCATAGTTTGCATAGAAAACCCATAATCTGAAGCATGTGTTCCTGATCCTAAAGTTACATCACAGAAACAATGCCTACAGTTGTCAGAAAAAAAACATGGAATATTGTAAATGTTATCAAAGTGGACGCTTCAACAATCTTAACGAAAAAGGGATGTCTCATATCTTTCATACATTTTTTGAGGAATGGATATTTTCACAAAACAAGCCCCAGCGTATTCATGTCATGGACCCTTTCACGGTTTGTGTACACCTTTATCAAAACAGTTTTTAGTGAATCTTCAAAATCAGTTACAAAAGTGAGAAATATGAAAACAAAACCAACAAACTATGCCTTACACTTGAAGTACTTCTACTGCTCCAGTCTTCAACGCTTTGAACGTCATTCTAAAGACACAAGAAAATAAGTGAAGTATTGAGAACAAAGTACAATTTAAAATGTGTTTACTTTCTTTTTGAGTACCATTTATAACGAAAAAAGAGAAGAGAACAACATGGTTCACGGTTAACAAATGAGACTTCTTAACTGTCTTTGCTGTGGTTCAGCCCAAAATGTGATGTGCAATCAATGTTTATCATGGTTTTTTATTCAACAAACAATTATACAAGGGAGTTTAAAAAGCTTTATATCCATAATAAAAGGACAATTGTTTCATCATTTATTTTTTACTTTTTCTGACGGATTTTATGCCGTCTCTTTGATTGGTGGATTGGTGGTTCTCATCCACCAATCAGCAAAACTTACAGGAAAGCCAGGGTCGGACTTGCTGCCCCGAGTCTTGGGCTTGGAGGGCAACCGCGGTCGTTGTGCAAGTATTGGCTGCAAGACAGACGTGACAAATATACGGCAATTACAAACTTTTGAAAGACTGTACGCCAAAGCTCACGGTGTGCTCTCGGTACGTATCGGCAAAAAGTCAAATTTGCTTTGCTATTTAACCGTAGTAGTTATTGTTCATTGGCTTCCTGTTACATTGAGAATACAATTCAAAAATCCTGCTCCTGACATTCAAAGCCCTTCATGGACTTGCCATTCATACTCCATTTTCATTTCTGCTCAAGTGATTTAGTATTTACTGGCAAAAAAAGGTCCTTCACAGTTTCTTCTGAGTACACTGTATGGCGCCCTCAATAGGTCATTCACAAATCCAATAGAGAAACTCCAATTCAACATAATCATCCTACATAGGAGACCTGTTTTACAACTTAGCAACCTGTGACCAGGCCTCAGATCCTCTTCATCACACATACTTTATGATACCATAACTCGCCTGGCAAGCTGCAGGGACCGGGCCTTTTCCAGCTGTGCACCGCGTCTCTGGAATTCCTTGCTAGACGAATTAAGGGACACAACTGATGCGTCATCATTCAAACGCCATCTCAGGACCCATCTTTTGAATCTTTCAATTGAACCACAGTGATTAAGTGACCGGAGCCTTTGAATGGTTCTAATTCTCCAGAAACTGTGCGACTTTTCAGTCAACAGAAGGTTAGCCTGTCTTTGTATGTACACAAAACAGTATTGACTCTAACGGGAGAATTGATGGATGGATCCATCAATGTAAACCAAACTCAACCAAATTATTTGGAATTAAAACCAAATAATAGCGCATGCACGAATTCGACGTCGACATCCGATTCGTCGATCTTGGAGATTCAAAACGGGACTTTGGATATATGGCTTGCTCGTCCGTGCTTGGTACGAAGAAGTTCAACAAAGTAAAAGTCGAAAGACTTGCAAAGTTGACATTGTGAGCTGACTATTTCATCATATGCTTACCTTTCCACTGTCTCCTATATCTTTTTCCGAGAGTGTCCTTGGCTTGGCTGGAAGCTTCGGCTAAAAAAAGAAAGCAAAAAACAGTAATCGGGACATCTAAATGTTACTTATTTTCAACACGACATGGATAACCTGACCCATTCGTGAATGGGATGTAACTATAAAGGTCAGCATCCGATTTTAAACCCAGGTTTTGCACTGTATGTCAAAATTGACATATTCAGGTCAACTGGTCAAGGCAAGATCATTAAAAGTAGAAAACAAAAATAAAGCGAAGGCTTGTCACGTTTTAAAAGAGTTCAAGACATTTTGAAGTGCCTGCATTAACTTCACTAGCCCAAAATTGAACACCGTGAGACGCGAAATGTCCTTGATTCTGTGCGGATGAACACAATGAGATCAAAACGAACCCAAACAATTCCTAAAAAGTGAAATTCTTCACAGCAGAATTACCATTCATGCATATCAATAATTAATTAGCCATTATTCCTAAATCTTTTGACCTGTAGTTATGAAATTGCTTAGGTATGTTTATGATCAGTTGTTCTAGGCATGTACTAAGTTTCCAATTTTTTTTGTCACTCGATGGCCGAGATCATGGGGGGGGCAGCTGAGAGGTGATCGAAATAGCCGGCCATTTTAGGGTTAACGCTTACTACAAATCGAGGCCCTCTATCGCTGACTTTAAAACTAGTATCAACAATGCGGCGAGTCTTATAGGTCCACACAACAGCGATAACAGACATGAACAGCTATAAAAGCATGTACAAATTCCACCTCATCCTCTGATTAGTCGATGTTAGGAATCCAAAACGAAACCTTGAATGCATGGTTTAATAGTAAGTGCTTGGTATCACGACGCTCACATTTTAAAAAGATTTGCACATTTGACACTTTGATCAGAATATCTAATCGTAATGTCTACATACCTTTCCACTGTCTCCGATATCTTTCTCCGAGAGTCTCCTTGGCTTGGCTGTGAGTTTCGGCTGAAAAGGAAGACAGCAATCAGGACATAGCCTTCCCAATAGTCTCAATATTACCCGTTTTCATCACAAGACGGGCAACCTGATCAATTCGTGAGTGGTCCGTAGCTATAAAGGGCAGCATCCGATTTTGGCCCTACGACTAAATGGCACAATTTGTATGACACAAAATGGCCCAATTTGGCACAATGGCACAAAAAAGGCACAATTTGTATGACACAAAAAAATCAGAAGAAAATAAAGTCAGAATCAGGTTAAGGCAAGATCAATTAAAGTAGAAAGCAAGACTAAAGCGAAAACTTGTCGTGTTTAAAGAGTTCCAGATATTTCGAAGTGACTGCATCAACTTCATTAGCCCAAAATTAAAAACCGTGCGACGAAAGATCTCTTTTATTCTGTACGGATGAACACAATTACAATCGTGAAAACTTTGCCCGCAATAACACTTTTAAAGGGTGAGTAAAAAAAAAACACAAAACCTAAGTGTCGGGATTATTGTTTTTAAGAAGTTCTGCATGTAGCACTTTGAAAATCAAGGATATTAAAGCCAATTCATTAGCTTTCTTTTAGTATAAGAATTATCAAAATCACGTATGTACTTCTCAAGTTATGGAATGTTAAACACAACCATCGTTTTAAAGTTCTGTCCACGGATCACACAGAAGATGTGCGTTCTTTCAGCAAAACGAAAACAAAAATTGTGGTTTGTTTTCGTTTTTTTTGAAGAAAAACACTACCTATTTGAGATCCGTGGAGAAAACTTTAAAACGGTGATTTTGTTTAAAAGCCCGTAACTTGGAAAGAACACAAGTGATTTGAATGATTTTTGTTCTAAGGCCTAAAAAAAAAGAAGTTATGTTGGCGTAACAGGCCAGAAAAAATGGGGTAGGTAGGTCTTTTTTTTTTTTTTTTTTTTTTTTTTTTTAATCCCAGCAACGAAAATGACATTAAGCCGGTAGTAGTACACGATAACAAAAGAAACAAGGCTCATCATCAACCTTTCCAAAGGTACATATCAAAAAGCGGAATCCAAAATCAGACAAAATGTTAGCCGTTTCATCTGCATCGACATCTTTATATGGACCCGATTCTTCCTTTGAAGTTTGTATTTTTAGCACGGTGTAACCCGCTTTTACACCATCGGCACAGCTCTGGGCGATTACCCCCAGCTCTAGACTCAAATTTGTCCGCATTAAACGGTTGAAACTGACCGAAGATCCCCATAATTTGCCCTTGATGGAAACACTGTACGCTTCGGTACCAGGCGCCATGATGCGACGGCGTACGCGCATAACCACGGGCCGAGGGACGGCCGGGTCGCGTCGGCCGCCGGGGTTACAGAATAGCTTACCATTTTTAGAATAAATATATATCAATTGTTATCGTGTAAAATAGTGGAAAATTAATTAAAATAATTTATATTATAATGAACTATTTTTTTAAACATGGAATAAATAGCGAAGTATTTTCAATAGTGTATGTAGCAGTTCGCGCCGTGCAACAGTCTAGGACGAGGCTACACGTGTACTGTACTGTATGTACATGTGCATCTATCATGCATGCATGGTGCATCGATCTCCGCACGCGCACTGCCTGTAGGCCTGCGCGATCTTCTGCATGTTCGTTGTGTCATGGAGAGGAGGGTGCAAAACATTGTGCACTCCAAAGTTCCACGCGCGCTATCGTCATACAATTGAGGAGAAACGGTCATAAATGGTTTCAAAACGTATTTAAAATTCATTTCTATAGATTTTAATTATATTTCTTCCCTTCGAAAAAAATTAAAATATCCAGGGTCGGCCGCATTTTTAGGGTCGGTCGGGTTACGCCAACATAACACTTTTCTTTTTAGGCCTAAAAGAAAGCTTATGAATTCGGCTTTCATATCTTAGATTTTGAAAGTGCTACATTCAGAACTTCAATAAAACAATAGTCCCGACATTCGGGTTTCGTTTGTTTTTACTCACCCTGTAGACGCCGTCCTTCTCTGAAAATTATTATCAACAATTTGGCGAGTCTTACAGGATCAACATAACCTAGAAACGCGCATATCCATGTATTCTCTCAAGGCGTATCAGTTGATTCATGCAGAGTAATTATAGGTCATTGATTTATCACAAAACGTGAAGTCAGTGACTTTGAAGTGAAATGATACGGAGCTTACCTTTTTGGATTCGTCACCAGCTGAAACAGGGCTGCTCGGCGAGCTAGGCATGTCTTCAGTGGTTTGTTCGTCCCGACTCTTGCGGGTTGGGACCAGGTCAGGAAGCGCGATGGGGTCGGTGAGAGTCAGACCTGGATCAGGGCGTGGGCCGGGACTGGGGTCACGCACCAAGGGTAGCTTGGGACTGGGTTTGGGAGGGAGCTCAGGCAGGGGCTCCTCGTCAGAAAATGAGTTGCTTATCTGATTCGGGTCAGGATTTGGCTTTGAATGGGAAGTGCCATTCGTCAGTGGAGTTACTGTGTCTCCAGATATCTGAGGATCCGGATCAGGACGGCGCCTGGGTGGCAGCTCCGGTTTTTCGTCATCAGAGTCACGATTGGGATCAGAATACGAGTCACTTCGGTTGCTCTCAGGATTATGGTGAGCAACATGGCGGCGTTGAGGCTTTCTTGCGGGCTTGGGTATGCCCTGCAAGTAAGGTGAATCCAAGTCGGGGTTGTAGTCAGGATCGGGGTCAATCGAGTCCGTCATGGGGTTCGAGGGAGCCAGACGAGTGGGGACAGCAGACTGATTGTGAGTTGCGGGCTTGGGTATGCCCTGCAAGTAAGGTGAATCCAAGTCGGGGTCGTAGCCAGGATCGGGGTCAATCGGGTCCGTCACGGGGTCCGAGGGAGGCGGACGAGTGTGGTCAGCGGGGTGATTGTGAGTCTGTTCCTGGTGGGGATTCGGGTCAGGAGCCGGTGGTTCGGACTCGGGATCTGAGTCCGAGGGTAAATCTGGAGCATTGCGGAGAGGTATGTCCACCGATGGAGCCCTGTTCCGCAGTGAGTCTGGACCCCACATGTCCTGGGATGAAAAAAAATGTGGCGTGTAAAAAATCAATTTCAAAACAGTAACCTTAGCAGCTTGTCAAAATCAACGGCTTATTTTCTTTCAGTCTTAGCCGCGACCAAACGTAACAGGTGGACCCTAATTACTGATACGGTCATGCTACCAGAGACATCCGTATCAAAAGCATCCATCATGCAGATGCGACAACATATTACAAATAGTTTGGAGTGTTCTACTCCTATCTGGAATGTCCTGGACAGGTGTTTGGTTTTTTTCCGGGGGGGGGGGGGGGTTCAGAGGTTCATGCGATGAAATAAAAGGTAAAGGTAAAGACCCCATAGGCTAGCCATTACTGGCCGTAGGGCAGTGGGATGTTAGAGGTCCACTGTGTCTTGGGCGCGGCTTAAGGGTGGCTGTGTTCAGTCCTCCCCTCTCGCTGTCTTACTTTCCCTGAACGATTCATTTACCCATTTATACTGTGGGGTTGTCAGAGAGCTTTCCTGCTTTTGGTCCGAATTGGATTCGAACCACCAACCTTCCACTCCGTATAGCTCAACGCTCTAACCGCTCGGCTACGAGCTTGTTATAAATAATATCTCAAGATCAAAATAACTAAAAATTTAGAATGATCATACTCAGCCACATATTTTTTTTGTGCTTGTGTCTCAATTAAAATGTTGTTTAATTTTAAATATGACAAGGGTAATCGTATGATGTTTGAGATAAATAATGAAATCATGCAGTCTTAATACTGCTCTGACAAACAACTCATTGGAGCGGAGGAGCTAGTGCCTTTTACCCAGTACAGACCCGAAACGATGGTCTACCTGACAAAAAGAGTTGCATGCAGTAATGGAATCGTCTCTACCAAACAACTAATAAACCAATCAAGCCACAGTACCTCTTCATCCCCTGTCTTCAGTGGGACAATAACGGGTGTGACAGCTGGGGTGTCACATGAATCTATGGCTGTAGCATGTCCACTCTCTGGACTTCTAAGCGTCGTGGCATAGCCGCCGTCATCAAGCTCCTCAATGTCGTCACCAAGCTCTTCAATTTCGTCATCGTTGGTCTCCCCCGTGGGGATTCCCTCGATGGTGACTTGGACTCTCAGCGGACTCAGCTTGCATATCAGAGACTGCAGCACATGCAACACAGCGGAATGAGAGAGACATGAAATAGCCACAGGGTTGTAGTCGAGTCCACCACAAGTCCTTAAGGTCCGCGTACAGTAGGTTGCATCACAAGTCACAATATGAACTGTGGCAGCTTTTTTTTTTTCATCAACTAACTGTTGCTTGTGACCGGGTGTGTGACCTGGCTTGTGAAGGAATTGTTTATTTATGTTGACCGGACCTGTGGTGGTCTCAATTACAACACATAAGACGGTTTAACTCATTTTCGTGAGCCAAGATTAATTAGTAACTCTTTGAATATAAGTTCGACTAAGCAGCAGGTAACGGATGACAACAAAACTGGCATGATGCCACAATATACAGGGAGAGGTAAAAAAAAAAAAAAAAAGCGGAACCCAAACCACAACATTTTTATTTCATATTTTAAAAAATTTGTAGCACCACACTTAGACTGGAAAGCCAAATTCATAAGCTACTTTTAGATGGAAAAAAAACCAAAATCGCTCAATCCGTTTAAAGAATATCACCATTTAAACACAATGACCCTAAAACATCATTCGTCCAAAAATGAGATATTAAAAAATCGTCGTCACAATTGTCTTCAAACATCACTAGCGATAAAACATCAGTTTAAAAGTTAAACATATTCAACGAAGTCCTTTTGAAGGCCCGTCTTTTAAATAAAGGTGATTTTATACGTCATATTGTTTGCCTAACCAGGGTTGTTAACAAAGATATTGTGTACTGCAGTTGTTGACTGTTGTTGAAACAAGTATTTTTTTGGTCATTGTTTTCGTTATATGTTCCAAACAGTCAGAATACACAATCAACTGCTTTTTTTGGTGGACGAAACAGGTTTTAGCGTCATTGCATTTAAATGGTAATATTCTTTGAAAGAATGGAGTAATTTGAGTAATTTTTTAACCGAAAAGTAGCTTATGAAATTGACTTTCCAGTCAATTTTGTTTGGTGCTACATATTTTTTGTAAATATGAAATATATTTTTGGGGGTTTGAGTTCCGCCTTTTTCGACTCACACTGTATTCTCATTTCAGTTGACAATTCGCCAAAATGGTGAAGGGAACTTCCCAAAGTCACGCCCCTTCACAATTTTGGCGAATAATAAGGAAAGTTATGTATGTGTCTGTACATTGATTTTAGCCCGTATACCATAATTAGGCAGTCACGATGTCACTAAGCACCCCAGTAATTGTCTATTCAAAGTGAATGCATTGTTTTTAAAAATGACAACTTAATTTAACACTCTCCCTCTATATTCCAATCAATCAGAGTACATCACCATTTCAGTGGCTGATTAGTGGCAAGGAACTGCACCCGACGACATTAGCTCTTTTCACAGGGAATGTTAGAAGCCATTTTTGAAATAAGAAGCCATTTTTGTTGCGGTGGTGCCACACTCCCTGCACATGCCAAAGGCGTTCTTGAAAGACGAAACGCTCGCGCATTTTGGTAACACAATAATTTGGTTAAAGGGAATATACATCATTTGCTTTTGCTGTAATTTTCAGAAATGGATGGAATTTGGGGGTTGGAAATATATAGCAAATATAGTTACACTGACTTTTTTGAGGTTTTGGGTTCGAAAATGCTATAAAAACCAAGAAAAACAATCATTTTCATGTAGTCTGGTTCCCTGACTCCATATAAGAAGAAACAGAGCAGTTTACATACATTGGGGAATTGTAAGGTCAGGGAACCAGTCTAGCTGGTTCGTACCCGTTCATAAGTTTGTAATCGATTGCAAACAAGTGCGATGGTCAATTGGGGCCAGTATTTGGAAAAAAGCCAGTTGTTTCCAAAGCTGATCGGCCGATCAGCGTTGGAAATTGATACAAAAATACCACTTTTTTTGAAAATGACAGTAAACCAGGTGCCATGATTTTACAAGATGCTTTACACTGCCATTCACTTACAGTCCAGCAAGGTATTTCAAAATGATTTGGTAGTTTTATTTTTTGATGTTTGCAAATGTTGTATTTTCCCTTTAATATAAAGGAGCCTAGAGTGCTTACGTGCTACCTGAGCGCGACTCGCGCCAGCCTGGTGCCACCGCAAAAATGGCTGTCGCCGAATTAGTCTATAATACTTCAATGGTTCTTGCGTGATGGCTCAGGGGAGCAGACAGCCGAATATGTGACCAAAATCACGGATGGATGGCCCAGTTTGGACTCAGTGTATGATTCGGACTCGGCTCTGCGCATGGAATTTTGACCGGCAAGTCGCTTGATTTTGCAATTAAAAATGAGAGGATCATTTCAATTATAACTGTGAACATCCGGGTCTGCTGTTAAGGTTGATTATCAACGGAAGGAAATATCACCCAAAGTCATCAGTCAACCCCACACAAATTGAACAGATAATAAAGAGGTCGATCGTGTAGTCTAGGGTATGAGGGAACAAAATCATTTTAAAATTATTAGACTTACAAAACTAGTTGGCGACAGTCTCAATAAACATGTTATAGATAGAGGGCAGGGTTTTCATTTTTGAGGACAATTTTTTTTTTAGGGGGGGGGGGGGTGGGGTGAAATGACGATGGCAGCGCGGCGAAAACACGCAACCCGAAAATAAAGATGGCAATCACCACGCGATGTGTAATACGTGCACACGCAAGGCGCGTTGAATCACAAGGCACAAATCGCGCAGGAAAATCGTGATTTCTACCCAAAGAATATGTTCAAAATTGCAAAACGGGTGTCATTAGAATTGAGAAAAGTCTTCTTTTGATTGTAAAGCTGCTTTTTGAGCTGCAATAAAAAACTACACTTCACAACCGCCATAAAGAGTGTTAATGAAGATTTGATTTGATGAATGTCTTGAACACCTGTGAAAGTTGTAGGTATTTTCGCCCGGTTTTGCTTGATGTGGGGGTATTCATCATTGGCGTATAAACATGGGAATTTAATGACTGGTTTGCAACCCTCAGCAACCTACTATAATGACCAACGCAAATAGTATTTGGTTTAAACGTTCAGCCTCGCTCAGTTTGAATCCACATCTTGCACTTTTTTCTTCGAAAAGAGCGAATACGGCTGTAGCAAATTTCTTAAGAGCATTAACGAGATGTTTTCAAGCATTAAATGCAACAGCAAGCGACATGATAATACAAGCTTTTGCATTATACCGGCTGTATTTTTTGACCTTTTGAGCTATTAACGGAGATTCGGGAGGATTAGGCAAAGTTTGAGACAATTAATGCACTCAGCGTAGAGCATTGTTTAAACTAAACCAACTACAGTGACAATTGTCAACCTCAGCAATGGGCCTAATTATGGAATTCCCTCCAAGGGCAGATCCAGAACACATTTTGTTTTGGGGGGGGGGGGGGCCAAACAAATTTTGTCCCCCAGGAGTGGGTTAAAATAATTACGGCGTGGGGTTCCAGGCTCACTTAAGGGCCCCGAAAAAAATGGATTATATAGCTGATGCTCTGTTGTGTGATCTGAGGCAATTTCTGACCATTTTAAAACAAACAAAATTTAGGAAAACATGCTGGTGTATGCAGTGCCTGCCTTTATTGCGACGTCGCCGTACTTAAAAATAAACAAAAATTGAGTTCGTTTTTTTTCGTCTTCCTCTTTTTTTTTATGGGGGGGAGAAGAAATATTCTGTCGTTTCATGCTACTGAAACCGGAAATCAACGCCAGCCTGATGAGCCACATTGGCTCGTGACCGACTTTACTTTTTTGCAATTCATAATGTAGAAATTTGGAATTAAAACCGTCACGGGTGGCATTTTAAAGAAAGAAAACACTCGATTTTGTTTTATCTAAAAGTATGGTATCCTGACATTTCAATAAGTTAGTTTTTATGCAACCTTCCCAAGATTTTAAGCACTTTGTTGCTTTGATCAGAAACAATGCACACAAAGCAAATGATCATGTGTATACCTTTAACAAAGAAAAGAAGGGTAAGTTGTTGTTCGGCCAATGACGATGATTTGATGTTCCACCTTCATTGGACTGAACTATTAAATTAGCTTCAGAAGCGTTTATAGCCTGAGAAATAACAAAATATGCCTACTAGAAAATACAGCAATGTACAGTGATGCAAAATCCGGAAATGCGGAAATTGGAGCTGAGCAGGTTTGCATAAAAGCCATAGGAACAATGTTGGCTACTGCGTAATCAATTTCACCTTCACTTATGAAGCAAGCAAGCAAGCAAGCAAGTAAAGAGTATCACGTTGACAAGCAGCGAGCGGTACCCAAATGCGGATTATTGCTTACGGGGTCTACCACAGTATACGCGTTTGGTTGGCTCGGCCGCTTCGCGAACGGGTCCATAAGGGAGAGACTAGGCGAGCTGGGTGCTGTCTCGTCTGCGTCGTCCTGAATGGAGCTCTTCGTTTCGCCTTGGCTGTCGGTCTATCAGATCCAACAGGGGCAAGTAAAAACACCATTTTCTGATCATCGTTCTTGTTCATCACTGTCTTCGTTATCTGGTATCACTGCTATGATATTTGTTATAGTTGAAATAATTGTCATCATCGTAACCATCAAGGTCATTATTATTAAAGTTGCTTCCATAGTGCTGGATAGCTCAGTTGGTAGAGCACCAGAACGGCAATCCGGAGGTCGCAAGTTCAAACCCACATTGTGGTTTATTTGAATATGTTATTAAACATTCATCTTGCACTGAAAAATTGCCTGGGTTAATTTTACCAAAGAAAGGGTGAAAACTGAAACTACCCAAACTTGGGTTGTTCTATAACCAATTGTTTATGTTAGAATTTTTGCTAACTTCAACCAAAACTTGTCGTCATTCAAGACAAAATTTAATTTGTATGACTACAACTTTTGGCTAACATAAATTATAACCCAAACAATTGGTTACAGAGAACAACCCAAGTTTGGGTAGTTCCAGTTTTCACCCTTTCTTTGGTAAAATTAACCCAAGCAATTTTTCAGTGTGGTTAACAACAATCCAAAAAGTACTGAATGATCAGCTTACATTAAAATAGCATAAACCAATTTATTAACTAAAAACGAGATCATTGTTATCATAACAATTCCACCATACATGTTTTTGGTATAATTGTAATGGTCATCGTCATCGTCGTCATCTTTAAAATCGTTAGGGTCATCTCCTAGTGTCAGCACTTTCACCATCGTAAGCCGTCATTGGAATCAAGGGCGGATCCGGGGGGCAAAGGGGGCCATTCCCCCCCCCCCCCGCCCCCCAAAAAAGACAAAAAAACAATTTGTTTTTTTTTTTGTTAAATGACTTCGCAATAAAGGCAGGCAATGAGTACAACACCATCTTTTCCTCATTGGCTTAAGTGGTCAGAAATTGCCTCAGATCGCACCACAGAGCATCTAGAACCAAAAAAAATATATATATTTCAAGGCCCCAAACCCCACGCTGTAATTTTCTGGGACACACTTTTTGGGAACAAAGTTTTTTTGGGCCCCCAAAAAATGGTGTTGTGGACCAGCCCTTGATTGTGATCACGGTCTTCCTCATTTTTTTCATTGTTGTCATCACTGTCATCATCGTTATAAATGTAATTGTCATCATCATCGTCTTCGTTGTCGTCGTCGTTTTCGTTGTCAGCAATCTTCAATCGTCATCAGCATTATCAGCACATGTATACAATCTCGACATGTCTGTAGACTATAAATAAGGAGGTCATTGACAGGAAACAGATGTTGTATACATAGTCTGTGGTCAAGTCGTGCTCTTGGCTACCCGCAAGTGACTTTGTTTTGTGCACGTGTATATGGGCAGCCCAGGTTGTCAGGCTCAGATATGCCTCACCCGGGGTCACACACTAGGTGACTGCATATATCCGTAGTGGGTGCCTCTGGCTAGGATTAGATGGAAGATCACCAGAATTGGTTTGAAATTGTTTTTTTTTTATTAAGGTAATTAACCAAATTGGGTCCCCAAAAGGGCTAGTTTCTGCGTCGGAGGGTTAAAAGAAACATTTGGTAGGCGGTCTCTATTTCTACACATCTCGCCATTGTCTGCCACCGGACAACTGAAGCATCAATCTTTTCAAACAGATGGACCTGTGCCAGTCTAGTCTCAGGCTTCAAATTGAAATCACTTGGCTTCACTCTCAGGTGCAAAATGTTGAAGAAAATCTCCTTTAAAATCTTATTTGAGACTTCAATCTTGGTTGGTGAAATCTGACTGATTTTGCAGAATGTTGTCTGCTAAGTAGTGAATAAAGTTGGAGTGAATTTCGTTTGCATGTTTTTTCTGCACTCAAGATTCCAATCTACATCAAATCCTATTCACACACATAACTGTCAGTACGTAATAGCACATTATGATAATTTGCAAAATCGATTCCAGCTTCTACGAGTTGGAGTGTTGGTATATTACTTTTGGGTCAAGTCTCACTCTACACTCTACAGGGTGAGTAAAAAAACCGAAACCCAAATGTCGGGACTATTGTTTTATAGAAGTTCTGAACGTAGCACTTTCAAAATCTAGAACATGAAAGCCCAATTCTAACGCTTTCTTTTAGTACAAAAATCATTGCAATCACTTATGTACTTTTCAAGTTACGGAATTTTAAACACAACTACCGTTTTAAAGTTTCTTCCACGGATCACAAAAAAGTGAGCGTTCTTTCAGCAAAATTAAAACAATTCACACACACTCATATGTGATTTGTGTTTGTTTTGCTGAAAGAACACTGATTTTTTTTTGTGATCCATGGACAGAACCTTAAAACGGTGGTTGTGTTTAAAATTCCGTAATTTAAAAGGTACATGAGTGATTTAAATGATTCTTGTACTAAAAGAAAGCTTATGAATGGGGCTTTCGATCCTAGATTTTGAAAGTGCTACGTGCAGAACCTCACTCAAACAATGGTCCCAACATTTGGGCTTCGTTTTGTTTTTTTCTAACTTACCCTGCATAGACGAGTACGTGTACAGTGGAAACGATAAAAAGACCGGTGGTTTCTTGTGACATCATCATTTTAGATCATTGCATTTTGTAACTAAAAACTGATACTCTGCACACCCACCATTACTAAGGGAATAAATGTGTGCTCCGGAGGTTTTTATCACTCGTTTAATACCGCTTAGAGTCTGGGTGCTGATAATTACCCGAGCCGGAGGTAATTATCAGCACCCAGACTCTAAGCGGTATTAAACGAGTGATAAATACCGACCGAGCACATATTTATTCCCATTCATAAATACCTTATCCGTAAAAAAAATTCAAATAATTCGTTCAAAAAATCCCGATTTTGTTCAACAAGTTCACTTCATGCTTTTTGAAACATCCCTCTAGCAAAATAATGGAGTGTTCAGCTGGCGAGTAAGATGTAAACAACCCTTTTATGGAGATTGACGCGCGCGTAACATGTTCTGCGCGATGTTACGCAGAACGCACCTGGGCGTTGCGTTTTGAATTTAGAACTATAAAATTCTGACTCGCTTGTAGTGTTGCGCATGCCTACGTGAGGATTGTGAACGTTCAACCAATGAAACGGTAAGAGGCACTGGATTTTTAGGAGTCCACATTTTATTGTGACACTGGAAAAGTGTTTAAGACCAGCTATCCATGTCTTTATCATCCGTTTAATACCGGCCACGTGACGGGCTCTCGACCAATAGGAATAGCTAAACTGTCTGAGGTATTTATGAATACATTTTCAACAGATATCACTCACTTCATCCACTTTAACAACATTGGTCTTACCTCAATTTCCATCCGAAATGCGTCATTTGCTGTGCCGTCGGTAGCCTGAAACAATTAAATTTAAAAAAAATTACTTAGCACGCAGTCCTGCATCCAGCTTAGGTATTATCTTGTTTTAAACGTCAAGTGTTAGGCAAAGTGAGAGGAAGAAAAAGAAGAAAGAGAAGAAGAAGGTACACATGTTTCTAACCCCGCCCCTTTCGTTTTTCCCGGCTGCTCCTCCTCCCACCGCCCTCCCCCTTTTACATTTGCTATGCGTTTTGTCTTGTATGTACGTCCAGCAAAACAGTAGCTTCATGGCATGTACGCACATTTAAAATCTGGTCGAAAAGGTGACGGCTAATTTTGACACAAAGGTGCAGAGGCGGATCTAGCTTACGGGGGAGGGGATTATATGGATGAGGGTTGAGTTTAAGGGGTCGGGGGAATTTGGCCCCTGCAAATTTTGAAATCTGCGATGCTTTCTCATGAACTCTATGGCAACTCAAGAATAAATGTAAGAGCGTCTTTAGCATTCCATTTATTACTTTGGCCCCATTCTACTAGCTTCTTAACATTGGTAAGCGGCTTGGGGGGGGGGGGGGGCTGCAACCCCCAAACCTCCCCTCTAGATCCGCTGCTGCAAGTATCAGCAAAAGAGTCGAGAAAAAAGAAGAAGCGATCTTGGAAAATCCGCCATCCTCAACAAAAAACGCCGCTTCCTCAATTCTGTTAAAAACCCGGACGAGAATCCCCCCCCCCCGCCTTTTTTTTTTTTTTTTTTTTACTTGGCCTCAATGATTTGCGTAAAGTCGAAAGTTGGCCCCTGTATTTTTAGGGAAAAAAATACAATATCGAACTTGGTTTGCATTCGGGAACTTATTCACATGTTAGTAATACTATTCATGTTTTTAATGGAGCGAAACATGCAGTCCATTCTATCTCGACATTTGCAACGAACCTTTCACATACAAAGATCGGGTGAAATGTTTAGAAATAAGAATATAATCAACATTGTACTAGTCTTGTAGTCGAGAATAAGGATACAATTGTCTCAGGGTGAGTATTTTCTCTAATATGCTTATGAAAGAAGAGTGGACCTTTTTTCATTGATGCATTTTCTTTTTGCAACAAAAGTGATGACGATCCAAAGACGGGTGCTTAACAACTAACCAGATGAAACGTTAGCTTTGTGAAAGCTGTGTATTACTCAAGAAAACACAATCTCCTGGATCTGGGTTTCATTTCATAAGTTGCTGAGTCACGACACAACCTCGAAATCAGCATTCGGGACGTGAGTCTCATCATTCAGCCGATTGTTGCCACGTGACGTATCACACCCAACCGCGCGCAAACAAGTGTGTATTTGCCTGCAATCGGGGACCCACTATTATCCCTCTGTTGTTTGTATTTTAACTTTTTAGGAAGACCTCCCATGTGTTTTTTTACACGATCGCCACAAATCGGGGACCTTCGGGAATTGGGGACCCCATTGTCCTCTACTGTTTAACGTCCCTTGTTGAATGCAGAAACAAACTCCCTTGCACCCATTCACGGATTCGCCGAATTACAACCCAACTGTCAACAAAAGCACCCCCCCCCCTAAAAACAACAACAACAACAACAACAACAACAACAAAAAACAAACAAAACAAACCAAACCAAATGTGTCACTTGACACATCTTTGGGAATGACCGTTGATTGTTTTCTTTAAATTGACAGCATGCCTCAAGGAATAATATTATACAGGGTTATAAAAAGAACGAAACCCATATGTCGGGACCATTGTTTTAGTGAAATTCTGCATGTAGCACTTTCAACATCTAGGATGTAAAAGCCCAATACAGAAGCTTTCTTTTAGTATAAGAATCATTCAAATAACTTATGTTCTTTTGAAGTTATGGAATTTTAAACACGACCACCGTTTTATAGTTCTGTCCACGGATCAACAGAAGGTAAGTGTTTTTTCAGCTAAACGAAAACAAATCACATAGGGATGTGTGTGAATTGTTTCGTTTTGCTGATAGAACGCACACGTTTTTGTGATCCGTGGACAGAACTTTTTAAAACGGTGTTTGTGTTTAAAATTCCGTAACTTCAAAAGAACGTAAGTGATTTGATTGATTCTTGTACTAAACAGAAAGCTTATGAATTTGGCTTTTATATCCTAGATTTTGGAAGATTTTGCTACATGCAGCACTTCACTAAAACAGAAGTCCCGACATTAAGGTTTCGCTTTTTTGACTGACCCTGTAGAGAGTTTAGTGCCATTACTATCTTTAAACCAAGTAAGCTTTTGAACAATATTTTGGTCGGTTACTTTTTGGATTCTATTCTACCTGTAAAGAATCTCAAGGCCTGAGTTCCTCTCTTTTAACTCAAAGACTTAACCTGCAATTGAGCGTTCAACGAGGCTAATTCGTGTTCTTTTTGAAGGTAAGAAGTATACTGTAACTTACTGAAACAGTGGTTTGGTAGTTATTCTCTGCGTCATGGGTGTGTCCTGGTCTCCTGAATGGCATGTGCACGTTTGCAACCTGATTGGGAAAAACATACATAGTAATCCATGTGGAAAAATAAACAGTAATCCACATCTGCACTAGAAAGCAGGAGGTCGCGGGTTTGAGTCCCACCCGGGTGATTGTTTTCCACTTGGGAAAGAATCAGTCGGGAGGTAACACTTTCACTCGGGAGGTAACACACTGAGTATATAGTGTTTATACGTCGGTGAAGGGCAAAACCTAATTTGAAGCAGTTCGTGTTCTTATGCATCCATTTATTATAAAATCCTCCATGCAAAGAGTAATCAAACGAAGCGGCAATTAGACACAAAAGCAACATTCTGTGCCACAGGATTTCTTATCACTTGGGTTTATAGGCAAGCATTGAGACCCGATTTGTAAATTTAATGTGAGGGTTGCCACGTACAAATAAATATTAAAAAAAAACACAGATTTGACACCCTTTAAATGGATTCTCCACTATTGCAAACCATTCATAAGATGGAACCGATCTGTTAGCTCGGTGGTCGAGTGGTAAGACATCTGCACCAGAAAGCAGGAGGTCGTGGGTTCGAGTCCCACACGAGTATTTTTTTCCAACTTTCACTCGGGAGGGAACACGGTGAGTATACGGTGTTTAATGTTTATGCGTCGGTGAAGTGCAACATCTAATTTGATTTACAAAAACAATTTTAAAACCCAATGGTAAAGTTTCTTGACGACTCCTCGTGCGGCTACAAGATGTGAGAAATGCCAGTTCACTATTGGTCAACAGAGGGTACTGGCGGCTCAAAATCGCTATACCGAACGATCGTTATTACGAACACTTTCTGTGGATTACAAATCACGTTGAGTACACCAACAAATCAAGGGGAAGTTGAGCAGTCGATTTGTTAAGACACTGCTCTCTCTCTCGAAAAAGGTCGCGGGTTCGAGTCCTGCCCCCCTCCCCCAAAATAAGCCTGTGACAAGGCAATAAATACAGACCGCATTCTAGAACAAAGCGTGTTGAGAGGCAGACTCCTTGTGCTAGAATTAAAGACCACTATGTTCATCAGGAGATCAGTTAAGATATTTGGAACAAGATGGCTCACCCGTCGGGAAATGTCTTCATAGATGTGAGCAAGACTCTTCCGCGATCGAGCCAAATAATCAGATGGCTGTTTGTCGCCATCTGACAAGTCATTGTTACGACGACGCTAGAAAGAAAAGGAATACACCACAGAATTAATTAATGTTCTTATATAAGTAACCGAACTTAAGCAGCAAAGTGACCCAACGGCTAAGGTGCAGCTATACATGAAGTCACTAAAGTATATAGCCCGAGCCCAATTAAAAATAAACCCAACCATCACAATTGAATAATACATCGCAGCTGCATGAAATCCGTCAACGATAGCCCAACGACAGCCCAACCGAATACAACCCAACTGAATGCAAACCGACTTGACCCGACCTAACTCAACCATTCCAATCCAATCCAACCCAACCCAACCCAACACAACCCAACACAACCCACACAATCCAACATAACCCAACACAACACAACCCGATCCATACAATCCAACACAGCCCAGCCCAACCCAACCCAACTCAATTAACCCACACAAGTGTATATTTGCCTGCTTTGAAAAAAAACGGGCTAACAATGAAGCCCAACTTAACATTTGAAAGGGCATGTCATTTGATTGTTACGTTATGTAATGTTATGCAACAATGAACTTAAGCCGACAGCTCATTGAGTAGATGATCTTAGTACTGGCATGTTTAATTGACAGCTTCAATAAAAGTTACCAGGGCAAAATATATTTTGGTGTGAAGGTTTTTTTAATTTGTATGAACTACGTCCAATTTACATAGAGTAACCCGTGAACAAGACTGATTTTGGTGACTTGTATTCAAATTAGCATAATATCACTACTTTTGCGACTTTTACTAACTTTTTTTTACCATGCATGGTTTAAGGCCTATACTTTACTACTATGTAAAAACAAATAATTCAAATATGTTCATTAAGTAGGTGAAAATTGCTGTCAAAAGTGGGTGTCCTTTTTTTTTTTAACCACCCTGTATTTTGTTAAAATACCCGTACCTTCATACATTTCCAGCATAAAAACACGATGAGGATCGCGAGGAGCAGAAACATCACAATAGGCAGTGCGATGATGTAAGGTTCGACGCCCACAACACCTGTGTGAACAATATTAAATATGCAAAGAATTTGTAACCAGTATGAAACACCAGTTTGTGGTCAGCGACTAAATCTTAATTATGTCATATTTGCACAAAATCTGACCTTCTGACCAACATAATTTTATAGTCTTAGGTCCCGAATTACTAGTGTGTCGCCCGCGGGCGGTGTATATCTCCACTATATTGTGTTTGTTTCTACAACAATCTTAACTGCGCATTATTGGTGAAAACAAAAATTGCGCAAAAAAGGTTTTCCGTTTGCACAAGCTCTCGGCAGATTGTTTTTATCACTTGCTATTGATATTTGGATATATGGAAAAAAAGAAGTTATTGAAGAGGTTGTGGAATGCTCGAAGACATTCCCGTCATTTTTTTTAGGTATATGTAGCCTATGGTGTGATGAAATACAAACGACTGTCAGTTGTGTTTGTCATGAAATTAGTACAAAAGGTATTTTTGAGAGCTGTTTTTCATGTCCTGTTTCGACCCGAACGTGCAGTTTGTGTAAAGGTCGTCGTTGGGGGCAGCAAACAAAACATAGTAAATCGTGACGTAATAAACAGGAATCCCGATGTAGCGGAGTATAAACGAGTCCTGTTTATTTTGTTATTTGTTATTTGTTATTTGTTATTTTTTTTTTTTGGGGGGGGGGGGGATATAAACAGATCCATTTTGCGAGCAGTCTGGATCCCGGTCCGTGCATCTTCATTGTTGGGCGGGAATTAGCCAACCCCGCGAGAACGGAATTTGAAATCGTAAAGCAATAATTCAATAACTAAACATGGGCCGATTTTGGGGGCGATGTCTCATTCAAAGCAGGATATTTCTTTTGCTAGAAAATCAGGAATTTCGAAATGGAACATATTTTTCGGGAGGGGGAACTTTAACATAGCACAAATCATCTAGTTTAATGTTCTTCAGAAATGGGGAAAAATGACACCAAACTTGTTGTTATTTGTGTACATACAGTTGATTTGTCCAGCTCCTCCGTCCGCGATGTCCTTGCCCAGCTGCAAGCAATCCATGTCCTCCTGGCGCAAGTTGACTGACTGAACGCCGGCACACAGCTTCGGCTCCGACGATGCATTGCAGGCGGACCAGCCGACGCGGACCCGTGCGGTGCCCTTGATGTTTTCGCTCCTGCCCGCCTGCAGACGGTCCCACGCGAGGTCGACGGACGTGTTGCCGAGGGTCTGTCCGCCATTCAGGCTCAGCACGACAAACAGGATGTTAATGTTGTCTGTCGTGTCGTCCATCGGGGTTGCGTCAACAGTGGTCAAATTTGCGCTGAAGGTAACGTCGGTGTCTTCGCCTATCTGGTATTCCGCGGGGTCGATTCGGTGTACCGTAAAATTGGACAACTTGATAACTGGAAGTAACCAAAGAAAAACGAAAAAAGAGGTGAGATTATTCACTCTCTAAAGGAGAAAATCCGAAAGCAGACTAGTCAGAGTCAAGTTGATTTTAGTCTGAAATGAGTAGCGTATCGAGGATTGTGGGGTCATTTTCGTACTGATGATTTTTCTAATTTTCCCAGAGCTGTTGGGGGTGGGGGGGGGGGGGTGGGGGGGGGGTGGAGTGGAAAGGGCAGGGCAAGCCCGGATTACCCAATAGGCATAGTAGGCACTGTAGACCTACGAAAAATGTGGGGGCTCACGAACACTTGGGGGAAGGCCTCCGAAAATACTGCAGTGTGCCATACAACACATAGGCCTACCCACACACACCCACACGCCCAGAGAAAAGTAAAAAAAGAAAAGAAAAAAAAAGAGTTTTAGGGTCTCTCTCAGAATTTTCGTTTTCACCAACTGACGCTGTACAGCATGTATTATACATAAGCCCTACGTATAAAATGTACGTGTAAAGTCTGTCGTTCTGAAGCACGGTGCCAACCATGGTCGTCAATCGGTGGGAACGGGGGGACTGATGGCCTTACCCAACGATTTTCGTCCCTGAATAAAAACATGTAGCCTACATTTGATTCTATAGCTCAGAACAGCTGATTTAATTACTCCAAACTCGGAAAAGATGTTTAAATGATGATCTTGTGCTAAAACTTTGGCAGTCGATAGAGTCCATTTTTTACAGGGGCATTTAAGCGGGCCTCGAACCCCGCACCGTTTAGGCTTCGCACTCGCACAATTAGTATTGATCAAGATACATGTACACATGTATGTACCACCCCCACTTTGAGAAACAAATGACGCCCTCGAGAATTGGTGCCATCAGGCTGTTAGAGCTAGGACCTATACCAGTTTGGCTTGGCTTGGTTTGTACAGCCCCCCCCCCCCCCCCCCAACAAAAGTGTGTTCTGGATCCGTCCTTGTACCCCCACTCCCAATAGGCCTAATCTATATCCAAAGAACTTTATTGTGTTTTTTAGACAGGGACATTTTCCGGTTCTTATTACATGATTTTCCTAGTGTATCAAACTTCTGGCTAGATTACTCATAACATGGTTTTGGGGGACATTCCTCATTTTGCCACATTAGGTCACAAAATGTGCTCCCTCGAGATAAAAAAAAAACTGCCCGGTCAGTACGTAGTTTCGTAAGAATATGATTCGAGTATAAATTTGCCTTTTTCTTTTCTTTGTATCAATATGGTGTTTTTAGTAAGGCGGCAGAACGTAAACCCAAATGTAAAGCCAATTAGCTAAAGTTGTTTAATGACACTTATTCAAATGGGCCTTGTTTTGTCGACCGTAATTTGAAAAACTGACTCTCCATGGCAAACTGCATTGAGAATCGCCCGAATTTTATGATTTTGGTCATCCCCCATCCCACCCGCCATTCGCCGGCATAGATTTACGCCACTGGCCGTCATTGCATTCGCGTGGTCACGATTCTAATCATGCCACCGGCTGACGTTAATGTGACATTGTATTATAATGGCATCATTCCCTAGACTAAGCGTAAGTACAAGGAAGGATGAATTTTCTCAAGGATGAATTTTAGCTAATGGATCTGAATTAGAATCAGACAAACAAAATTCCCTCGTAAATATTTGTAAACGGGTCAGTAGTTTGACTTAAATATAATGAGGTAGGGGAAACTTGCTAGAATTTCTCTCAATCAGCGCGACATGTCAGTGCCGGCCGAAAGACGCTCGACGCGAAACAATAATTGATGGGACAGAATAAGGAGGAGCTTGGTAAGGTTAATTGCTCGTAGTGACTCTGAATAGTCAACTGCTCGGTACATAAGAATGATTGAAGAAAAGAGTTACGTAACAGCATTCGTGTGTACTGCGCGTTGCTGATGCATCTTTCATGCAGCTGTTAAACACAAAGTAACTCTCCAACGGCGGAAATAAAGATTATGTTTTAAACGCAAAGAGAAAAGCACTTACTGAAACAGCCTACTTGTTAAGCTGTCTGACAGCGGATCCAGGGTTAGGGGTTCGAACCCGCTTGGTGTCATGTTTTGGTTTTCGAGGCCCGCGGTTCTGTCATTTAAGAGTTTTCATTTCCCGTCGTCATTTACCAACAGCAGTTAGCTCGGTCGGTCGGTAAGCTGACTCACAAGTTGGGACTGTCTGCGAAATCCAGGTTGGCATCTGCGTATAGGTACGGGGTTCTTTTGCTGACTCGGCAGCAAGGCTTAGGGTGCCACCTCGTTTCCTCCCTTTATGGTGCCTGACTTTCGAGTTACATGGATGGACAGGGAAGGAGGTGTGGTGGGCCGGGTACCGAGTCCCGGAAGAGTTCTATATGGAAGTCGGTAAGGGGCTCATTGAGTTAGGGTCATAAGTCCGACTCCTGAAGACTTGGCCATCGCCACATAACTTTTTGTTTTGTTTTCTTTCTTTTCTATCGGAGGACAATTGCAAGAATGATTAATTTGTTATATTGAGAGTTTGTACTGTAATCGTTCGAAATTAATTTTTAAATTGCTCGAAAATACAAAATTCAAAATTCAATCCAGCTATATTTTTTTTTATTTCATTGTTGCAAAACTGCATGTACATGCTCAGTACCTTTGCGCATTACTTGTTCAGGCCCGTTCCCTGATCCCAGACAGCGGGGGGGGGGGGGGGGGGGGGGGGGGGGGGGGGGGGGGGGGGGGGGGGGGGTCTTTAAATCCTATAGTGGATTTTTTGTTTATATGCGAGCGCGAAGCCCTGAAGGCGACATTTTTTGATTGCAGATGCTCTTTGGCGCAAATATCAAAATTGTAGCTTGACTCTCTATCAAAATATCCCCTCGTTATTTTAGGTCGTCACTAATAAGAATTCGTAACTGTGCGAGCGAGCACGTGCTTGTGTTTTGCACAGCTGTAGCTGTCAACCCCCGTATATGAAGCGACTTCGCGCGGCACCTTGTGCCGACATGACAAAATGTACAATCTTTTGCAATGGGTTTCAGAACCTGATTTTAGCTTCGCGGAGTTTTAAGCAGCGGTGTTTATTATTTACATTATCTACTTTGTTCTTATTCCCTCTTCCTTTCCCCTTCCTTCTCCGTTCTTCGGAACACTGGTGCCTAGGGCCTACGAAACACTTAATCGGGGCCTTGGGCGGGCCATGTTTCAGCCATGCCCCGCCCCCTCGCCTCCGAATTCTCTGCATTCGCCACATGGAAAAACGAATCACGCCGGTGAAAATCCGCAACGGAACTTTTTCAATTCGGTCGGATGTACGTCATTTTTTTCATTTCAAATCGTCTTGGATTTTCAATCAAAATCGGATGGACCTCCAATGGAAGACATTTGAGACGTTGGTGGCAGCAAACACACTGTCCCTTTCCATTGTTTACGTAATGTTTAAGCTAAAGTGCGCATGCTAATGTGACCAAACAATGGAAAAAGGACCGGTGTTGTTTGCTGCCACCAACGTCTCAAAAGTCTCCCATTTGCTCGTATCCAATAACTTCATTTTCATCTGCGCACTTACCGGCCATATTTGAAAGCGAGATATACTCTTCATTTTTGGAACTTGCGAGAAGAACAAGAAGCAATGAAATAAAATTTCATGAAAAATACTGCCAATCTGCTATGATGAATAATTTAACATCTAGGATTAAACAAATCATATTTTAGCCACATTTTTAAAAGAAAAAAAAACGAAAGTGAGGCTTGGAACGCGCTTGAATCATACAATAGTCTGGCACCATCCAATTCAACGGTTAACCACTCATAAACCAGGCTCTGGGAACACGATCGAAATGGCTTCCCCTTAAATAAGGTATAATGTTCCCGGAGTCGGCAGCAAAAAAACCCACCACATTTTGTTTGCCATCAATTGTATGAGTTCGGTGAGGTCATATCCGGGGCATTACCAAGGTTCCCAAATGATTCTATACATCCAATGACGGCTCAAAGAAACTTGACGTCAGCAGTTCCCCCTGAATAGAGCAATGGTACGAGCGACAAGCTCACTGGTCCAAAAGCGACACAAACATGTCGTATCAATGGTACGATCACGAGTGTGCGCCCAGGGGCGGCGGAACGCTATTCAAACGGGAAGGGGCACAAAAAAGGGACACTTGCTCAGAAAAAGGGCACCTTTCGCATGTGTATAGTGGAGGAAAAGAAATGATCTCGTTATTTTCGCTATAAACCTGACGAGGATCAAATTAGGAATGCGTGTCCATCTTGCTCTCTGTGTTACTTTTACCCAGCTACAGAGAGACAATTTTGTTTTCGCGAGAGGGACACTGTTGCTTTTGATGGCCAGTTCAGTGACCTTATTATTTCGTGAAGAGCACTATTTTTTTAAGGGGGCAGATTTGCATTCGGAGAGGAGGCACAATGTTAATGTTGCAAACGGGGCACTAACTGTGCTTTCGATGGTCAGTTATCTCTTAAGTTTTCGCAAGAGGAGCACTATTGTTTTAAGTGGCCATTTGTTTCCATCGTGAAAGGGGAACAGTTTTAATATATAATTACGAGAGGGGTATTTGTGCTTTCGAGGGGTAAATTTCCATCTCGAGAAGGTGTACAATCTTGTTTATGCGAGAGGGGTACTTTTGAGAGAGAGTTTAGCATTTCAAGAGGGGTTGGGACAATTTCATTTGTAGCTCCATCATAGTACAGGGTGAGTCAAAAAAGCGGAACCCAAATCCCCAAAAATATATTTCATATTTAAACAAACATGTATAGCACTGAGCACAATATTGACCGGAAAGCCAATTTCATCAGCTACTTTTAGATGAAAAAAAAAATACTGAAATTGCTCAATCTGTTCAAAGAATATCAACATTTAAACACAGTGACCATAAAACCTCTTCTGTCCAAAAATGCGATTTCAAGAATCGTCGTCACAATTATCTTCAAACATCACCGGCGATAAAACCTAGGTTTAAACGTTAACAATATTCAACAAAGTCCTTTTGAAGGCCTGTTATTATTAAAAAAGGGGATTTTATAA